TCGAGAGTTTGCGTACGATCCAACACTTTGTCAGTGGAGATAATATGACAATTTTGACTTCGACTGTGTTCCAACAGACTCAAATGTTTTTAATTTCGTAAATTCTGGTGGTACGTAATTAATATTGTAATAAAATGTGCATATTTTTTGTGATCATTTCTGTTTCTTCATTGTGAAAATCAATGACGACTCAATTAATTTCGTAATTTGATTTCCCTCAAAGACGTAATCTGTTACTTGATGAATCAAATTTTTCATTTGCACTCTTTTTCGAGGGGGGTGCTCGGGTAAGCGCCCACCCCTAAAAAATCATGATTTTCTGAGTTGAGGCCCCTGGGCGCTAACGCGGTCGAGTACGGTACAGGTCTTAAATTATTCTTGGTCTTGAAAAGTATGCACAATGAAAATTAATGATTGTGAATTTTGTGAAAAGTATACTTTTCTTGTCCTGAAATGTAAATATAATTTTCACCAGATTTTCACCAGATTAATTTTCAAACCAGAACAACCTACCGTAACATGCTTTAAGAAATCTCCAATATTGTACTAGACAGGCGCTATTACTGTCATGCTTTAAATATTGTGAGATCTCTAGTCAGAGTCAACACAGTTGTTTTCTTGATATTTTCTCAGGGCCTGGTAAAGAAGTGCCACCTGTGTATGGTTTAGATGTCACTAATGTGACAGACTGGGACACCAAGGTATTGGCACCAGCCGTGCAAATTCTACAATCTTTGAGTCAGGTGAGTATGTCATTCATATAGGTTCCCAAAAATACAAGTGTTGATACATTCAGCAACTGACACGTACGTACCAAAGATTAATGAAATGAGTTCCTGTACTGCCTGAGTACTTACTTCGCTGTATTCTTGTGATAACTTTATTATTATCGATCTTTTTCCAAATAAGGAAGACACTTTTGAACTCATCTAAGACGCTAAATTCTATTATTTTTGCTGCCAGAAGTATAATAATGCGCTTTAGGATCTGAATCAAATATGTCTGAGTGACGGCCATTTTTAATCTCGGGAATTTAAATCTCAATCTCAATTTCCCTCAATCTTTGTGCATTTTTTTTACTCCATGTATTCATACAGATTGGTTAGAGTAGCATTCACAGTCACAGAAATCAGGTATACTGTGTCAATGACATTATTAGTTTGCAGATTAATAATTTTCAACTTTATCAAAAAGTATGATGGTTTTTGAAAGCATCATTTTTATAAGTGACAACAGGTGTTGATCATTATTATTGAAGAAATTTAAAAAATAATGTATGCGATTATTTTGTGAAAGGTGCCTTAAGTTTTTGTGGCTTAAAGATTTATTAAAATGTTTTATGCTAATTTATTTATTATGATTTATTATGCCAGGGGCAGACACCGTCTATTTCACCGTTGCCACGTGAAGCAACTCCCGACATTGATCATCATGTATCTAATGTATGTGAAGTTTGCGACGGAAAACTATTTGTTGGAGAAAAGCAGTGGAAAGGTATGTATACCGGTACTAGCCAATTGTACTTTCCTGCGAAACGATGTTAATCTATGTGACTGAAGACGACCGTCATGTCCACACATGTCATTTAGCAGTGGTTTCAAGTAGTAATGAAATTGACCATCATAGAATGTCCTCAGCACATGGTGTCATCATAGACTATCTGTGCACATGCAGCCATCATGGACCATTTTGGTACATAATCATCATAGACCATTTTAGGGCATACAGCCGTCATAGACCATCTTGTTGGACCAAGTGGAAAGTCGAGTTTGAATCAAAAATTCAGCAAAAGATTGAGCAGTAACATTGTACCAAGTCCTTGTGTCTCGGGGAAGACACTATGGTTTGTTTACCGACTGGCTTTGGAAAGTACCCCATTTAAACGTTGCTGATGAGAGTTGCGGATATTTGTGGAAACATTGACCATTCTGTTATTTTGGTTATTGCATCGCGTTAATTTTGCTGATGAACATTTTCTGGATTCATATTCGATTTCCATCGATTCTACCAACAAAATATTTTTGGATGCATGTTGTTTACTTCCGTCATCGTAATCTATTGTAATCAGATTTAAACTTGGTTGTCTTGATTGCTTGCTAAGTGCTGTAATTCTTGAATATGGCAAAGTTACTAAATTAAATATTCATTACCAAATCCTAAAAAAACAACCACGAAGGCAGGTTGATATGACTATGATGTTGCCGAAAAAAACTACAGCTTTGTTTATACCGAGTGAATCTGTCAGTGAAGGTGAAATAACAGTTGTTATTATGTTATTTTATTTAAAATCCTAAAGTCACAGTCTGCAACTGTATCAAGAACTGTTTCTAAGAGATGGACAGAGTGAATTCAATCAAACTTTGTCAGGGGTTTTTCTAGAAAAAACACGGACGAGGGAGCGGAGCAACGCCATATCGGAAGGTTTCTGTGTCATTTTAACGGTGTATCTATCGCTATTGAAATATTTTGGAGTAATTTTAGTGTATTTGGTGTCCAGACACATTGTCAGCTGGTGTTGCTGGGAAGTTTTCACAGAGAAAAATATATTTGAGAAAGATTTCATGTTGTACGGCAACACGGAAGTGCACGCCTCAAGAAATATATTTATGACGTGAAAGTTCAATTGGCAATTCGGTAAGAGGGTGCCAGCCGAGAGTATCAGGGGGCTGCGCTCCTGTTCCCCGGTTTAAAAAAAAAACTGTTTGTAAGATGATCACGCCTACTGGGTTACCAAGGGTATGTAATTTTTTTGTTGAGATTCAAACATAAATGCTATAAACTCGCTGCCACGCTAGTTTTTGGTCTGTACAGTGATTATTATCACTACATTTTGTCAGTCTATGCACTTCCAGCCATACTGCATTGAAATTAGCATAAGATGACCGTAGAAATGAATTACTGCATGTGACTTGTCAAATCACCTACCATTAATACCAAATAGAGACTGTGCATTGCAAATGCTGGTTGAGTTTACATTAAAGAATATTAAATTCACTTCATAAGCGAGCACTTTCTGGATTCCCAGGGATGAAACACATAGACATCATAAAGTAGTTTATAGTGAAATTTTGTATGAGTTTAATTCTTCTTTTGTCCTAAAGGTTAGATCAAATAATAATGAATTGGTAACACGCTTTCAGTTGTTCTGTTAATAGCCGAAAATATGACCCAATAAAAACTGGTGTCATAAAGCATCAACACATACTGTTTATTTTATCAATTGATCACCCACGACTTTAACAAAGTCGGTAGATTACATTTTGAATGAATATTAATCCGAAATACAAACATGTTAATTTATGTGTATTTGTATTTAAAGACCATCTGTCTCCCTCGCAGAGTTCTATTTCTACGAATATATCTCTGGCAGCACAACAGCTTGTTGTTGATTGGTTAATGTGTCACAGTGGTATTACTTTTAAAGATGCCAACTAAAACATTGCCATGTCGATTTTCAAACTCGACAAAAACTTTCTGTATTTTTGTAGATTTTGGCTGTTTTCAAAATGAGAAGCTGATTTTTTTGACTTTCTGTAGCGTGAATGGAGTGGCAGTAGGATGAGTTAGTTGTCAATACCACAAAGTGCTTTCATTTGTTTATATCGCATCGCATCGCCTCGCCTCGCCTTGCCTCGCCTCGCCTCGCCTCGCCTCGCCTGGCAATCAACAGGAATGTCTTGATGAATTGTAACACAAGTAATTGTGTTATTTTGAGATGAAATTATTTCTTTGTAAATTATACAAATGTAACTACTATTAAACCATTTACAGTGTGTTTAACGAAAAAATCACCAGATATCGATGACATATTATAAAACTTGTTTACCAGTAAGAAGAAATCAAAACGAGAGCCTGCAAATTAGAAAACAAATGCCACGAATCCACGTACCTATGGTCTTGTAGCATTTCACTTGATACTATTGGTATTCTAGCAGCAAGGAACTCTGGGAAGGAGAATGCAGTTTTACAAGTTTTTATTTTAAAAAAACAAACATAATTTGTTTGTTCCCCATCTTTAAATATTTGCTGACATATTGCTCCATAAACTGAGAAATTATTGTCATGGTTTTATTTACAAATTAAACAAATTCAAATTCCTTATAAAAACCACTCTGGCTCTAAACGAAATGAACTAAACTTAGGACCATGTTGGCCACAAGTGTATTAACACACAAGACTTAATCTCTTGTTAATTGTGGAAGGAATAATAGTTCGCATAAAATACTGCTATGTAAACATAAAATGTCATTTGTAAAAGTATAAATCAATTTTAGTATGGATTAACAGTTGTAAACACGATTATGGTCCTTGTATGGTTGGTATCCCATAAATTAGGATATAAACGGAGACGCGCTTTTATATAATGTGGTAATTGACAAGGGTCAATGGATGTGTGAAAACAATGGATGAAACTTTGTCGGATACTGCCACTGAGGCTTTTCAGTCATCCGACCTTCATGACTTTAACTTGGGTCAAGCATTTCATTCTGTGTCCCCTTCATTTAAGAGTCACTATACTGATGGTGACACCCCCCTCACGTGTCGTCCACAATTTTCATTTGAATGCATGCAATGACAGTGGCCTACCTTATATGCAAATATTGGTTGGTGTGCACTGCTCACAGCGTTTGTTGCAGCATTAAGCACGAAACAAAATTCAAGACGTTTTGACAATAGTACACTATATTCCAACAAAGTTACTTAGCTGAAGAAACAATTGATAGAACATCCATTTAAATGCCTCAGATGTATGATAAAATCAACTGATGGCTTATATTTCTTCTAAGTTCATATGTAACACACAATTTTATTATTAAAGGGTGATGGTCGTTGCGTTGCGTCCTGTTCGATATGGGACTCATAGCGACGTATACAATGCTTGTAAAATACATTGTTTATTTACATGAAATTCCAACACACGCTGCACTT